GTTTTTAAAAATTCATAGGCAACTTTTGGGTCCGCCGTCGTCTTTCCAAGTTTCTCGGCGAGCGCTAATCCTTTTTCGACAATTACATCATGTTCTGTCAGAACTCATGGGTTCGTGGCTACGCCACTTTGGGAAATCGCCTTGTGAAACAAACCTGAAAAGCAAAATTGTAACGAGCATTCGATTTTATTAATTTTATTCAATATGTATTTTTGCTATCATCATTTTTTTTCTTAACGTAATGTGTAAATATTGAGAACAGTCTCTTATTTTTTTAATCTTAATATTACACATGTATTTTTTAAAATTAAAATCTAAATTATAAGATTTCAAGAGCTTTGGATTAGAATTATTAAATATCTTTGAAATGTTTTCATTGATTCCAAGTTAAATCTATGATTTAAATGCATATTTGGTTATTCTGGAACACTATTCTGTTTTTGATAAGATTGTGTGATTGATACCTTCCACAAGCGGTGACAGACCTAGGCATTGTAGCGTAGCTGCACCGACGTTTTGATCAAAAATAGTGATATTTTGCGGATCTCCACCGAACTTTGATACATTTTGTTGCACCCATCGCAACGTCATTAAGACATCTTTCAGACTTTGAGTGCCACTTGCTTTTATGTGATTAAGATTCAGAAAATCTAAAGATATACGTCATTAATGCACGATATATGAACTGAAAATTGATAAATTGAGCTGGAATAGATCGGACAATAGATTAAAGGTGAATCTAGAAATTTTCGCGATGATGAAAAACTTTCTAACTCAAGAATTTCTGCGCGGATCGATCTCAGATTTCTTTTCGCGATTGACACAGTTACTTCGAGCTTAATTCGATTTATTAGGGCGATAACGTCGTTATAATCACTTCATGAATATTCGTGTTGAAAAGTAACACATTTTAAGGCTGGTCTTGCATAAAATCTAAGAAAAAGAGAAAGAGCGCCAACACGGCGTTCTGCTAGCTTTGTTATTTTTAATTACACTCTTGTAGAGTAAAAATGTAGTACGCATATAAATACACACGTATATCAAGAGACACGGTAGTGTCTCGCGCCAAGTTCACGCACAGCGCGCAACGCAAGCGCAAGACCGACCGTGTCTCTTTACGCGAGCCCGAAAGTTGAGACGAGCCGAGATTATCGGATCTCAATAACGGCTGGGCCGATTGAGTTGATAATAGGCTCAATCGATAGCGCATACCCAAATTACATAAGAAAAGTATGCTTGTTTTTACTGTAGGTGCTGTAGAAAAAAAGTTATAATAATCCAAAGTCGAAATGTTGACATATTTGTCATTTTTCTAGGATGTCCAGCTAAAATGTCCAGTTTCAGATTTCTGACGTTAGGTGCGCTGATGGCGCTGAGAAGCCGCGCGGCGCGCGCTTACGATTTGACATTTTTACATATAACCAGATCAGAAAGTGTTATAAAAAAGTAATAATAATGAATTCGGTCTAACAAATTTGGTCACTCGCACTACATTGCTCTGTTACTTTGGTGCACACTCAAGACTGCTTATTAATCCAGAGCAGTGTAGTGCGAGTGACCAAATTTGTTAGAAATTCGTATTAAATGAAATAAGTGATATGTTGGTGAATGTTAATGTGAATGAACTTAGTAAGTATCTACTACATCTTTGAAAATTTTTTATTTTGCAAGTTATTATTCATACATGATTCGAGACTTTAGTGGATGATTTGTCTAAAATAAATAAAATTGAATAGCTCAAAGTTTAATATTTCTGTTCAGAGTATCCTAGATTAGTTTCAACAATATTTATAATTCTCAGTCAATTTTATATTTTAAAAAATATAGCATAAGTCGCCTTCTGTAATTAACGCTATGGTTGACAACAAAATTATCCACATTACAATATGGGCAGAGAATTAAGTGTAAGAAAATGTTCATATCATATTTTAGGTATATTATTGAATTTTATTTATCCATAGAAAAAAGATTATAAACACAAACTAAACAAAAAATCTTGTAAAACACAAAATGAAATTGACTGGAAATGATAAATATTGTTAGAATTAATTTAATATACATAGAACAGAAATATTAAACCTTGATATTTAATTTTATTTATTTTAGACAAATCATACACTAAAATCTCGAATCATGTGCTTTTTTGACAGAATGTATGATAAAATTAAAATTTATACAATCATACCAATTATCACTATGCTTTATGTGACAATTGTTTAGAGACTTTAGTGTATGATTTGTCTAAAATAAATAAAATTAAATA